ACCACAGTAAACTAAGTACTGACTTAAGAAGATCCTCCAATGAGCTACGGACCAGGACCGCACTTAGTACAAAATCGTGAATATTTCTTGAATACACAAACTACTATGAATCAAAATTAAGTCCTAATGTCACTGTATTCAGTTAGAAGCTTCATGCTTACCAAGTATGAGTTTTAAGGCATCAATTAAGAATTGAAATGAAAACACCCTCCCAGACTACAATTTCAAAGGACTTGTTTTTTGTTTTTCATGTCCAATTATAAATAGGGCTTAAGGTGCATAAATCCCCTTTGTAACATTTCTAAGTCAGGGGTTTTCATTTTATAAAAGGACTAAGAGACCTCCTACTTTTAGGTCAAATTACTTCAGAGGGCCATTTTAAATCAATAGGATTTACTCTGTAACTACTGAATCTGAAATACTTCCATCACATATAACAAAAAGGATTGATTAAAAACACAGGATAATTACCTTAAGCCTGCTGAGTATTCTACAAAAAGCTAACTGGTCGGAACAAACAAGATGTAGGATCGGGTAGAAGTGCAGTGACGAGCTCCGCCGATGATAACAGAGAATATAAGACCAAGCAGGCTCAGGGGATGATTCCAGAACTCTGAACCACATATAAAGGAATATTTAGAAAGTTGGAAGACTTACAGCTGGGGGAGTTTGTGGCAGAAGCAAGAAATCCATTGCTTTCTGGTTCGGACGCTCAGCTGCTCCAGGAGCCGCCATCTTGTATGGGGCCAAGCGGGGAAAGGATCAGAGCAGCCACAGACGCCTGACAGAACCGCAGAGATAGAGGTGTGCACATTCTTTTTTTTTGTATCTGTTCGTTGGTCCCTCGCTGTCTGCATACCTCCATTCTGGTGGCTATAGGGGTGCTGGAGCCAGTGGACACCTCAGCCCCACCCTCGGAGGCTTCTACTATACGTGCTCACACATCTCCTCGAAATTTAAAGAGACAGATTCTACTTAAAGCCAAACGGCCACAGCTGGCCCTGAACTGTTTACAACTAGAAAAAAAGCCTGAATGGGGATTGTGGAGTGGGACAAGCAGATAAAAAAGGAAATAGGCTGAAAATTAAATCCTAAGTTACATCACAATGACCAACAATGCTATCTTGAAATTTCTCAAGAAGAAGAGTGAAAAGGGAAGCCCATTTCCTAATCACATCTACCTGGAGGCAATCAGAAAGCACAAAAAATACCAAAATACATACCCATCTATGTATTTAAGTCCACAGATAACCCCTGAAGATGCCCCAAAACCAGAAACAGATGACCATATCTGCACATGTCCAGAAACGAGATAAAGTGACTGAGACAAATGAGCTGGAAGTAGACCTACACTCCATACTGGAAGATGGGCAGGCTTTGGAAATGCCAGAGAAGGAATTCAGAAAAATGATTATAAAATGTATCAAACCACTATACAATGCAGTTGAGAAAAATAAGGAAGAAGTCAGGAAAGTGCTACAGGAACCATCAAATAAGATAGATACAACATTGGAAATAATTCAAAACCTACAGAAAGAGGTCCAAACGATTAATAATAGAATATCAGAAATGGACAATACACTGAAAGGTCAAAGGAGGAGAATTGAAGAGATAGAAGCCAGAATTAGTGAGCTAGAAGATAAATCTCTCAACACTAGGGGACAGGCAACTTACACATTGGCTACCTAAAATGAGGGGGCAATAAAGGCACGAAGTGACTGGCTTACAAGGTTTCAAGTGGAAGTTTAGTTTACGGGTTTGGGGGGAAAGATAGAGTCCCCACTGAATAGCTATCATCTTGTCTAGATGGGTCTGGTGAAGAGATGGGGATAAGATTCGTAAGATTCAAGAGTGAATAATTGTTATCATGACTAATCGCGACTGTCACAATTATAAAGGTAGAAGTTTTGTAACAAAAAAAGGGGAGTGGTTAATCTTACAGTCCAGAAACAGAGGACCCTAGGACCATCAAGGGAGAAGAGCACAAGCAGAATGCAGGACCTTAACCAGAGAAGCAGCAGCGCCAGAGATGGAGGCAGAGATGGGGGCATGGAGAGGGGGAGCGGCTAAGGACTCGAGATTCATGGACTAAGAAGAGAGGGACTAAGAGCTGGTGGCCTTGAGAAGACTTGCAGGATGTGTCCTTTGGAGATGTAAATTATTATATATACCTGAGTGGGGTTTTTTTGTTTGTTTGTTTGTTTGTTAAAAAGCTAAAGTGGACAGAGAGAAATACTGTTAACTGATGATACATGGAGGGGAGTATAATCATTGTAATAAAACAAGGTATATGATTTGTTGAATGTAAAACTGATGATATGCCCTGTAAACTTTCACGCAATCCACAATAAACACCTTTTTAAAAAAAAAAAGCTAACAGGTCATATGAATGGAAGTAAATGTTGTTAAGAATATGGGGTCAGGAGTGAAAATGCCTTGACTGGACTCCAGCTCCACCACTGATTAGCTAACTGACCTCTGAGACGTTATGTAACACATCTAGTATTCAAGATCCTCATCTTTATGATGGAGATAAGAGGAGTACCAGTCCTGGTGTGGCACTGCAGAATAATGCACTGGACCACACAATCAGTTTGAACTACCAGCTACCCCTAGGAAACTCTATACAGGGTGGCTATGAGTCAGAACCGACTCGACAGCACTTAATAACAATAACAATCTCTTAAGGTTCCTGTGAGGTTTAATAAGACAACCCAGCACTCAAACATCATCTGGCACCAAGGAAGCTAAAATAAATGTTAATTGTTACTTTTAATATAGCTCATCTATCATTTGTTTACATCTTTGTAAATCCTAAAATTCAAAACACTATATTCTAATTTGTGCCATTTGAAAAAGCCATGTTGACTATTGCATATGTTTCTGAAAAGAATAAACAAAATCCTCAGTTACTAAAGTGATTTGATGTTAGATAAGATAACTGGCTCACTTATGAAACCTCCCTACGAAATAAAAGGAGCTCTGGTAGCGTAGTTAGTGGTTATGAATCGGGCTGTGAACTGCAAGGTCAGCAGTTCAAAACTACCAGCTGTTCCGCGGGAGAAAGATGAGGCTTTCTGATCCCGTAAAGATTTACAGCCTAGGAAACCCTGTATAGGGTCACTATGAGTCGGAACTGACTCCACAGCACATAACCACCAACACTAAGAAATAAATTTTCAACAAAATAGCAAAATGAAAGCCACATAACACATAAAGCTTGAATAACACTGTTATGCATGTACTCCTTAGTTTCTGAGCGTACTAGGGAACTGTATAATGATTCCTACACAAATGCATGTAGGGAAAGCAGATGATTATACTTATTCAAAAAACTGTAAAAGATTACAATGTAAATCTATCAAACAAAATCAGTTTTTAAAATTCTATTCAAGTGGCTCATATGTATCCAAATTCTGCACAAACCAAGATAGCAAGTCAATGCCCAGAAAGAAAAATTACAGCTCGAGCCAAGAGCAATTAAACAGAAAAGTGTCAATGCAGACTCCACAAAAATATGTAAATCTTGAGTTTTAATGTAACACTAACAAATAAGTACACGTTGCTAGCTACAGCTTTCTCCAACATCAAAGTAGTAAATGTTTTATGTTTAGTAAAAACATATACAACGTATAAAACCTTTAATCACTCGTAATGTAGTCTAACAAGCGCTAACCAAGTAGAATGCAAGGTTTTTAAAAGTGAAGATGTGCATTTAAAAAAGAACCCAAGTTGAACTAAACCCAGTAATACACTTATTTCAAAGGTGACCCACAAAAAATGCTTGCCAGTTGCAACTATACAGAGAATAAACTGCTCAGAAATTAATATCAAAATCTTACTGAAGGCTATTATAAGTGATCAGCCTTAAATGGTAATTTATTTTGGTGTTTAAAATATCAGTGATCAATGTAAATTAAATAACAAATGAGAAAAATATACAATGTATAATAGCAAGAGGTTAGAAAACTGAATACTGTGGAAAAGATTTATTAGTCTGTACAGGTTGGTTTCGGAAAGCTATTGACTACTTGTTACAGTAAATGATCAAGATTTTCATTGGAACAGAAGTTTTCCACTCACATCAGAATCTGGAAGCATTATGCCTTTCTCAAATTGT